TGGTTGAAATGATTTTGGTCGCTGAAGTGTATGAGACCAAATTAGTGACCGAATAAATCGGTCGCTAAACCGGTAGCTAAATATTTATTTTTTGTTTTATTAAATTTTATAGACGTCGCAAATTTGGTCGCTATGAACCACTCATATTTGGCCTCTTAAGAATTTTATTTCACAATACTTAAGTTTTTAGCATGTTTTGTCCTTAATTACACAATTTTTGGAAACTTCCCAGAAGGTCACCCATCCCTACATTACTTCAAGTCAAGCACGCTTAACTGTGAAGTTCTTATGAGATAAGCTACCGAAAAGCAAATGCATGTTGTTAGTATAAGTAGTACAAATTATTTCATTTAAGTCATCCTCAACTATCCAATCTCATACTTATATTATTTTTGGATCCTTATTATTTTGGTATATCCGGACCGTTATAAATATATAATAATATATATAATAATTATATTACTAATAATAATAATTATATTATATTTAATTAATCTTTATTTATATATACTTACTTTTATAATTAACAATCTACTTATTTCTATTTAAAATTAATATTATGATACAATTTAAATTATCTATTATAAATTTAAAATTTTAAATAATAATTTTTATATTTTAAAATGAGAAGGGTTATAATAACACTGGTATAACTTTTACTAAGTATTACATTGTTCAATAACTTTATATTAAATGTGAATTTTGTAAATCCAACCGTTAAATTGAAAGTTCATATCACTTTATATGTTTATATCAAGTTTTGTTAAAATTGAACAACAACTTGAAGGTAATCAAAGTGCTCATATTTTAATATATTTTGAAATGTATATATTACGTCAATTTTATTTTACAAGAATGAAGTATCAAATCATCTTGAATTCATATAAAATTTTGTATATATGATCTAAGAGTAAAAAACTTTCAATCTAACGGTTGAATTTATAAAATTCACATTTAATATAAAGTTATTGAGCGATGTAATACTTAGTAAAAGTTACACCGGTGTTATTATAACCCTTCTCTTTTAAAATATTATTTTTATAAATTAAATTTTAACATTTTAAATAAATTATTAATTAACTTAATATATTTATTCATCTTAAATCTAAGATATAAAATTCAAAAAATGTATTTATCCTTGTTTTATTTTCTAATTATCAACCATTAATAAAATACTAATTTAAAATTTAAATATAAAAATTCATTTAAAAATAAAGTTATCATAAGTTAGAAATATATATTATAAATATGGATCAAAATAAATAAGAAATTTTAAAATTCATATACTCTAATTAAAAAACAGCCTAAAAATTCAATCATAAAAAAAAATCTCTAAATATTTTTTCACATAAATAACTATTGGTATTAATTATGTAGGAGTGCATATAAATATTTTTTTAATATAAATTAATGACTTTCTCTTACAAAAAAAAGAAAATGGGATTGATACTCAACAAAAATATTATCATCACTTTTAAGCAATTTATAAATTTTTTTAAGTTTTACTTAATGACCGAATAAAATTTCGTCGCTAACTTTAACTAATATTTAGCTACCGAATAGAATTTTGTTGCTAATTTTAACTAATATTTAGCAACCGAATAGAATTACATGGCTAATTGTAACTAATATTTAGCAATTGAATTTAATTCGGTCGCTAAAAAAATCAAAATTTCTTATTTAGAGACCGAATTCAATTCCGTCACTAATTTTAACTAATATTTAGCGACCGAATTAAATTTCTTCACTAAATTTAACTACTATTTAGCGACCGAATTCAATTTCGTCACTAAATTTAATTACTATTTAGCGATCGAATTCAATTCCGTCGCTAAAAAATCAAAATTTCTAATTTAGCGACCGAAATAGCGACCGAATTCAATTTGGTTGCTAATTTTAACTAATACTTGGTGACCGAATTCAATTTTGTCGCTAAATTTAACTACTATTTAGCTACCGAATTCAATTTCGTCGCTAATTTTAACTATTATTTAGCGACCGAATTAAATTTCGTCGCTAAAAAAAATCAAAATTTATAACTTAGTAACCGAATTCAATTCTGTCGCTAAATTTAACTACTATTTAGCGACCGAATTCAATTCCGTCACTAAAAAAATCAAAATTTATAATTTAGCGACCGAAATAGCGATCGAATTTAACTCCGTCGCTAAATTTAACTACTATTTAGCGACCGAATTCAATTCTGTCACTAATTTTAATTACTATTTAGCGACCGAATTCAATTCTGTCACTAATTTTAATTACTATTTAGCGACCGAATTAAATTTCGTCGTTAAAAAAATCAAAATTTATAATTTTGCGACCGAATTCAATTCTGTCGCTAAATTTAACTACTATTTAGCGATCGAATTCAATCCCGTCGCTAATTTTAACATATATTTAGTGACCGAATTAAATTTCGTCGCTAAAAAAATCAAAATTTATAATTTAGCGACTGAAATAGAGACCGAATTTAATTTTGTCGCTAAAAAAATCAAAATTTATAATTTAGCGACCGAAATAGTGACCGAATTTAATTTCGTTGCTAAAAATAAAAATAAAAATATTTAGCGACCGAAATAGCGACCGATTTTCTAGCGACGACTTATTTTGGTCGCTAAATCGGTCGCTAAATCAGTCGCTAAATAGCGACTGATAAATTTTAGTCGCTAATTTCGGTCGCTATTTTGCAATTTTCTAGTAGTACAAACCCAACAAGAGGGAATATGAAAGATACGAAATTAATGTCCAATTCTGTATTTGTGGAACAATACTTTTCATGTGTTACAAATCTCGTCAATAAGATGAGTGTATGAAGAAGATATTCTTAATAGTAAAGTGGTGGAGAAAATTCTTAATTAGAATGATGTCGATAAAGTTTGATCATGTGGTGACTATGATAATTGAGTCTTGTGACATATGCACTATGATTGTAGAGAGTTATTGTAGGGAAGCATTGAAAGTCATGTGACAAGAATTTTGGAGGAGACGAAAAAAGTAAATGAAGAAGCTTTAAAAAGTCAAGTAAATCTCAACAATGTAATGAATATTCATAATAATGTATGTGAGATGTGTAAGATTAAAAAGAAGCATAGAGGATCGATCATTCTAAACTAGAGTATCTTGGGGGGCAAATTATGGCTATTAGAGATAATTCATTTAGATTTGTGTAGGATTGAGATCCCAACTCCAATATTTTCGTACTTTCGTTGATGACTTTAATATAAAGACATGTATATTTTTTTGAAAAAAAATCAGAAGCATGTGATGTTGTTAAAATGTTTTAAGACATCTATAAAGAAGTAAAGTGGTTACAAAATCAAAATGTGAGCATAGACTTCAAAATTAACTTGCAGAATCTAGGGTATAAATAATTTGAGATGCAATAATTCCTAAGAAATAGTGAAACTAAATTACCTTAATGGCAAGAATTCCAAGCATGAAAAAATTCACTTTCTCGACCCTCGTGCTTAAATGGCAATTATGACCTTTAGATATGGTCAATTTCGGATAGAGGAGGCATTTGAAGATGCTTAATTAACCAAAGCTTGAATGGTACCTCCTTCAACGATCACGTTCACAATTTCCTCTACAAACAAACACGCACATCGAATGGAACACATGCGTTGTTGTACAAAAACACCAAAGCAAAAATAAAGAAAGTGAGAGGAGATAGATTTATCGTTTTTGACGAGATCAGTAAGGGTGTGTGTGGTGTACTTGGCAGTGGGGTCAGAGAAAGTTGAATCAATGACAAATTTAAAACCTGCTCCTCAACATTAGAGTGGAGGGCATTGCAAGCGTTGTCAGTCGAAAGCACGTAGATCTGTCACTCCTCCTTGAGCTTCCTCTTCTACCCTTTCCTCTTTGAAAGGCATTGGTCTGGTCGCCTTTGAAGCTCTATCGATGAGAGAAGAACGAGAAGAGGAACTAGATGAATAAGAAGGTAGTCCTTCTCTCTCTCACACACATGACACTGTTCAAAATTGAGGTGTCCATAAGTTTCCTTAGTTTTTAAAATAGGGTTTTCAAGAAATGATTTTATAGATAATATATAAAATCGCTTATTTTTGGAACCGATTTTGAACATAACATAAAAATAATCGATTTTAACTGTAAAATTAGATATCACTTAATGGAAACTGCCACCTTATTCACCCTCCCTGAATTCTTTCAACCCCCCTCGGTTCTACAAACCTAACAACCTACGCTCCTAAACTCACTGTTTTGAACAACCACACCAACACCCTACACACCAGATCAAAGATCACCGACAATGTCAACAACCTGACCTTAGAATTCACGTTCCTCTCGGATCCATCGAACGCGTGAAGCACTATTGCCTCCGTTCGACAAGGTGGAGCATGTTTCTATGAGTCACGTGGCGGGCCACACCACAAATTAAGGTGGTGTTGTATGAACGGTGAAGGATGAGCTTTAGGGCTAATACAAAGAAAGAAAACTGATGAGTATAAAACTGATTAAGTATATTAGTTTACTTTTTAAAAATGCTGGCTCTCCAGGGATCAGTTGCAAAATTAGTTTGAGTTAGTTATAACTTTTCATACAGAAAAGCAATTATAAGTTTAATAAAACTAAAAATAAAAAAGTAATAATTAAGTCACTAAGAATTAACTAATGATGTGAGTTTGTGTAATTTTTGGAAGTTCATAAGTTCAGTTATTCATATCAGTACAATTTCTTATAGTATATGCAAGTATAAATGAGAAACCCAGGAAAATCCATTCTAATTAATTTTCAGCTAGGTATATAATTAATTACATGAGAAAAAGTAAAATAAAATTAAAAGGTCTTGGCAATAATATGTAAGGACATCTTCACAAGTTTTTCTAACAAAGTAATCCATGTTCTCTTCTGTTTCCATGTATATTAATTAATTTCAGAATACTTCATTTGGCTCTCTTGTGCCAAATAATTCTCTCTATATTGTTGCTCCAAGAAAACTCCATAACACAGTTGAAACTCATCAATTTCATAATTTCCAGCTTCATATGCCATTGCTGCATGCTCCATCATTTCATCTCTACAAGGGATCCATGCATTCATCTCATCAAACGGCAAGGAAGAGATCAATTCCATGTCACCCCAATGATCATCTAGGCCACTGTCTGACGTGGAGCAATCCTGATCATCCACGTGTCCCATCTCAGTGTCACTGATCTCTGCCTCCAATGACTGAATCATGCTCACAAGTCTATCATCGCCATAGTACTCTTCTTCTTGTGTTTCTTCCAATAGAGACATGAGAAGAACATTGTTGGCCACTCAAGCAATCAATTCGTTCGGATTTGACTCAAATAATCAACAGCATTCAAAATCCTTATACAATTCATCGGTCAATTATGAAATTTTGTCATTACCAAATACTTTTCATTAACAAGGATCAAAAGACTTTATTGGCCACCAGTACAACCATCACAAAACAGCAACAAAATCAACTTTTAAAGGCTCTATCGGCCTGTCATACAAAAAAGAAAAGACTTCAACATGATTACTCCTTTGGGTCATTCCCCACATCCTCTTGCACCTCAGGCTCGTCCTCTTGATCTTGATTCGGCTCTTCCTGTTGGATTTCAGCCTCACCATCCGAGGCATCATGAGTCTCCTCGTCCTCAAGATCGTCATTCGGCGCATCACTATCCGGGACGGCTCCCACGGGCATATCTTGGAAAGACATGAAAGATCCTTGGTAGAAATCTTTCGACATGTCAAACTCAAAGCCCTCTGTGAAATGGCCAAAATGTTGCGCTTGCCGAAGGGCATGACGAAACCCAGCTTCATGTTGGGCAACGATACATTCCTTGGCTTGCTCTTTCACTTGTTCCAGTTCGGCCTTGGCTTCCTCCGCTCGACGCTTCTCTTCGTTTACGGCTTTTTGCATGTCCAGCCGAAGAGTATCATTGTTGCGACGTTGTACATCTAGTTCGGCCGCAAGTTGTCGATTTCTTGCTAACGCTTCCTCGGCAGTCGCCACAGCCTCTGCTATCGCCTTATCGGCATCC